CTTAGCACCGATACATTTTTTGTGGAGCTCGGCAAACATGGCTACCGGGAGCAGAGAGCGCAGAAAGAGTCGACTGAACTATAAACGAGTCAGTTCCCTTGAATACTGCAATAAACAAATGTCTGAACGTGTTGGAAAGGGATAGAATTAAAGTTAATTGACGAAATCAAAATGTGGACACCAGTTTTTGTTTTTGTTTTGTCTTTCACTGGCTTTATAATCTTTATACCCTTCGATTACTACTGTGCATTCATCTACATAATATAGTCGAATATTTGAAGGATCAGTTTCCTTTATGTGTAGGTAGCAAACTTTTCGGCTTTAACCTAAAACACCAATAGACGTCAGGGGATGGCGAAAATTGAAAATCGGTTTTAACCTAAAAACACCGTGAAATAACCGTTTGGTGTCAGAAATACAAAGAAAAAATTGGTTAAAACCAAAAAAAAACACCAATATATGGATATGTTTCCTCCAGAAAGGACTGTTTCTGTCAAAACCCTCACACCTAGACCCAGCTGCAATCTTAGTTTCTCGTCACATATTTTCGCCATCTATACTCACTGTTTTTAGCGTCTGTCCGAAATAGATCAGCAAAAAATATCAATACTTGAAAAAGAAATAAACACAAAAGACATCCCCCAATTTGTTCAATAAATAAACGCCGAAGCATCTACGCCACTGTTATCTTATATGGTGCATATGGTGCAGTAAATAAATGGCACATGCCGGATAACTTGCAGATGTACTGACCAAACTTTAACTTGTCGCTGCTTAAACGATCCATTCATGAAATTAACGTCATATTTAGTCATATTAATTAATGAATCATTATTATATTTAACCTGCACCTTTCTTTTCCCTTCACCACGAACGGGGTCCAGCATAGTGTCTGCCAACCCACAAGGGGTCCGCGAAACATCGATGGTTGATGACCACTCTTTTAAAGGGTTTCCTTAGCAGTTGCCGAAAGCGAGATTGATTTAGTAATGGAATCGGGGTTCAAGGGCAGCGAGGGAAAAATAGACCATGGCAAAGTGGAGGTGCCCAAGCGGAGAATGTCTGACTAAGGGCATAAGTCAAGAGAAGTATAAATATTAATTACCTTATTAATATCCTTTCGATCAGCTAGGCGGACGGCGCGCATACCCCGTTGCGAATAAGCATTACGTTACACTGACCGTAATTTTCAGTAGTATTGCTATTGAAAGGCCTAACGTAGTCTGTGTATCAGGTCATGGCCTACGAGATTTTTCGCGCACTCTGCTCCGGTTTGTCAAACGCTCGGCTGCCTAGCAGAAAAGGCGAGCCGAGTCAGTTCTCTAGATGTCCGCATGCTGCGCTTAGAACCAAACTACAAAGGGAAACAGAATCGGCTCAAAGCGCGCTGTCAAGTGTGAGGCCGCAGCACAAAGCATGCGTCTGCATTGTTCTTATCATCAAAATAGAGTAGAGGTATGACGATCTCTGTTGATTTGTAATTTTCATTTGCTGCTCCAGTATTTGCGCTGTTTCGCTGGATGATACCACAGAACGCAAGATCGAAAGACGAGGAAGCCAGGTGGGTGTAAGACATGCTTTTTCAATTGTAAAGGAGCCAGCAAGACCAGCGGCATACACCATGTTTTCGATCGACAGGATGGTCGCACTGCTCGGTTACCAGCTCAACCGAAAGCTGGAAGACTTCAGGGCCTGCTTTCGCGAAGACCGCCGCCCAGCCAGTACAGGTTGTTCGTATCGCTGGTCTGTCCTTGTCCTTTGAGTTTTTGTATTTAAGATACTGAACCCCCTCCGTTGCCGAAATTCGGGCGGCTTGTCTACAAGCCGCGCACGCAGGAAGCCCTCACCGGGCGCTCGAGCCCGGCCTGCTAGAAGTCAGCAGCCCATGGCGGCCCCACGATGACCACCGTCGCGAAGACCGCTGCAAGCCTAACCCCTCACACTCGTCCACAAGCTCCATTTAAATTATCATCACCATTTATTTTAATAATGCATCTGTGCAATACCGTCTTATCATCGCTGGATGTGACACCATGCGCCTTCATGGCATACGGGGAACTTGCCTTTCACTATCACTATTTAGTGAGAAACTATACTTTGACTCGACTTCCTTATTTTGATTGAGCCGACTTCTTATTTTATACCAAAATGGTAAGACACGCAGTTTGTTTGAAGACAACATCGTGGGAATTTATTCTACACTTTTCACGCTTCAAAAAAATGAACCTTCAAATCTTGACCAAACTTCTTCCTTCCCAAAGATCTGTCTGTTGCGTCGAGAGGCGAGGACCACATTTCGCGCTGTTTCTTCATAAGTTCCGTAGACCGACGATAATGGTGATAATTCGCGGCTATTTCTTTCTTCGGTTTGGTTGCGAGAGCCACCAAGCGCCCAGCAGTAGAAGTTTCTACCGTGCGAATGCAATGGCCTGAGGAGCGCAGCAAGCGTGATAAAAATCTCGGGGGCCAGGATCAGGTGTAGGAGGATTACATTTAAAACATCAAGCTGGGTGGTGCAAGTCGGTGCTCAATCTAGTGGGATCAGTTGTACGCATCAAATAATTCATCCATCGTCGATAGGTAGGATTTTGTATTTTCAGATAAATACAAAAAAAAAAAAAAATCCGAAAAACAGTCGCCGGCAAAATTTCTGCGAATTTGGATTTATCCGATTAACTTCGAGTTTCGATATCCTAATGCATGAAGAAAAAAAAACGTTCATAAAAAATTAGGTTAGAAATTAGAAAGTGCCAGGGGGAATCAGTGCCCTAGTGGGCTGGCGTACACAAGCTCGGAGCACGTGGAGCGAAAGCTCGCGCTGATCTTGGGTTCAATCCCCCGCCCCTGCCCCTTTCGATCTGGATTATCATTGTACCGGCGTGCGGTCGTGTATCACTACTGTGTGGTGATCGTTGAAGACTCAGGCTAGCGGTTGTGCTGCACTGGCTAAATTGCTCCTCTACAGCTCGGAGATAAGTCGCCCGTTGAGGCAGACTAGGCCCTAGGCTGTATAAACATACACACACCCAAATTTGTAAAGTGCCACTCCATTTTTGTTTTCACCTCTTCTGGATCATTTGACAAAAGGTTCTTACCATTTATCTCGTAAAAGTTCCCTCAGGACCAGAGGTAATTGTAATTCTAAATCAGAATAAAAAAAAAAAAAACTGTTCCTGTTTCCAGTTTGGACCACACTATTTGTGTTTCTTTCAGCAAGGGCGGGTTTAATTAAATTTATTAAATTAATAAATAATTTATTTAGCTCAGGAGAGTCGGGAGTTCGTTGAAAGGCCGAATGCCCGTACCCGGTTGGCTTGCAAACGCCCAATTTAAATTACTGGGCGTGGTGCCCGGTCCAGTAAAAGTGATCATTGAATGATGTATAGATATATGTATACAAAGTGCATGATGATTGCTGTGTATTTGTAACGGAGAAAGCAATAAACCACAGATTTCATAGTAGGGGAAACGGTTGTTGAATCGTCTAGATCAGGGGTTGCCAAACGGCGGCTCGCGAGCCGCATGCGGCTCTTTGCTGGGCCAAGTGCGGCTCGCAGATCCCTCGGTGACCCCCCCCCCCCCCCCCCCCCCGCGCCTTTCTGCGTTTCCCCAGGAAAACAAAGAAAGGATTTCAGAATAAAGCACGGCTCTCAGTTTGGCAGCCTTGTACCCCCATACGTACAGTCGTGCAGACTTGTGCCCCCATACGCAGAGTCAGACTCTGAACAAAAGTTAAGTTCGTTCACCCCCCCCCCCCCCCCCTTAGAACTTTCGTGGTTTCGTTTGCGGCTCTTAGGCCGGGTCAGCCTGGCCGCCCCTGGTCTAGATCAATTTACCACTCCACTCCGCGCAACCACAGGGTAGGGTGAAGGAGTAGGATGTGTTCAAAAACGTGCTTCCCAGCGACTACCACCAGCAGTTTAGCGATTTTAAGATATCAACGAAGCAACACTCGTTTATAAGTTTTACCATTGACAAATTACTACGGATCATGCCAAGGGCTCCAGCGCCTCTCTAACTGAAGAAATATTCTTAATGCAAGCGCGTTTTTTTTAAACTCAGCTCAGGTTCACTCCCGAATATTGTATATTTTTATGTTTTTAAAATAGGAGACAATGAAAACTTCTCCAGAATTCGGGGAATTGGGAAAATAACCAAATAAACTCCAATCCCTAATAAACTCGAAATTTAGCGCCCCCCTTTCCTCCCCTCCCCTCCCTCCCTCCCCCAAAAAATATCTGTTAAACATTTTTAGATTATGACGAACAATAAAACTCGAAAGCAAGGAGCCGTACCCATAGTCAGACCAGTGTCAAAGTGTCGTGCCTGCAGAAATCCCTTTTGCTACACGAGGCTAAATCGCGAAGTTTCAAAAGAGGCGTGTTTAAACGCTTCTGGGAGTATTGTGGAAGCCATACCTTTCGAATGTCTGCAAATGCGTGCAAAGTTCACTAATCAGTACGTAGAAGTTCACCACCTTGGAAGAAACACGCGACATGGGCCTTGGAATATGTCTCCAGTTCACAGATTTCTGACTGCTACAGTTTGTTCACCGCGATTATGGTCACTCTCATAACAGCAGGGCGAGTCTTTCGAAACTCCGGCCACCAACATTCGCTCCGTGCCTTCCGCTGTACCTTGGCTGCGCTCGCGCTTGAGGTGCACAAGACGCTGAACCGACATCGGAGAAATGAAGTTCACTCTGGAGGCCGGACAACTGAAGCTCCTTCATGCCGTTGTCACCTTGTCAGTAACTCCAAACGCTTAATGCACGCGCCAGATTACGGCCGCCATTGCTGACCTTCTCTTGCATTACCGAGATGCTGAGCCACTGAAGTGGGCGTTGACGATCTCCACAATGGGCTATGCTAGGGAGAAGGAAGTGGAACCTAACATGGCAATAAACTGTCAATGATCAAGTGAATTAAGCGTAATGAGAGGAAACAAAAACTAAGTTTCGGTAATTTCGGCGCCCATGCAGAGATGCTTCACAGCGTGTATAGCTGTGCGAAAAACTTTGAGTACATTTTTATTTTCCGAATGAACACGGTTCTCTTTTCCGGAAACGTTAAGCGCCCTCTGACATTCTCACTTCACAGCACTCCGACAATCGGTTTGTTCAAATCCAACCGATTCCTTCAACTCCTGCCGCTCCTGGTAGCCGTATCTACTGAGGTCCACAAAAATGTCTTCTTTGCTTCGATATGTTGCTTCCAATTCGCCGTAGTCGTAGCTTTCCAGGAGGCCACCGTATTCTGTGGGTAGCCCTTCACGAGGGACGAACTTGTGAAGTTTCTCGTAGTCGCGTCCAATGACGTGCGTCTGAAAGGAAGTAGCGTCCAAAGATATAAAGGCGTTCAACGACAAGTAATGCCTCTATGAACGCTGCTCGCGATTGGGTGGAAAAATTTCAATACGATAAACACAGAAGGAGAAAATAGATTAGGCCCTTCAATTACACCTAAGCACTGTTTTTTTTAATGTCGTCACAGAATAACTTAGTACATTTCCATCAAATATAAAAATGTTTTGCGAAGCCGTCATGGAAGATGTCTACACACTCTTTCTGCAACAATATCCTAACAACCGTCACAGACTCTTTTTCATTGAATGCCTAAATATATCCATAAAGGTGTTCCCTGAATTAAAAGAAGTCTGAACTGTATATACTGGACAAAAGTGTGTGCTGATAATCTTTTTTTTTTTTCAATTGCTTTGCTTGTGGCACGTATTCTGTGTGGCCTGGCATTGTCAGGTTTCAAGAAAAGCGCTTTTCTGTTCCATGTGAGGTTTTTGTAAATGCTCTTTGTGGCGCCAAAATGTAACACTCCGTGTTGATTCCATGAAGTCAAAATGGATACAATTAAACAAAAAAAGACTATTGCCTTAGCATTTACTGTAAAATCCTGCAATCGTATACTATTCCTCGTGTTCGATATTTACATCGGTTAGCACCACGATTCACAGTTCTCACATATATACAGTTACAATAAACGGCTTGCATTATTTTGAGAATTCGAAATGGAGGGAGTGACACCTTCTGTTGTCGAGAATTCAATTACACCGGGTTGCGTAGATCGCAGTGACGAGGGTTCTGCACAGGTTTCTATATCTTCCAATGTTGCTCCATTACCATTCACTCTAACGATTTCAACCGAAATTAGGCTCTAGAGTGGAATCCACCAATACAACATTTGAGTGTTTCTCATAGGTCAGTCCTGCTATCTGTTCACTACTCATGAAGGTGAAGGCATTACTTTTTATTAAAAATTAGTGAACATCGACCGTAATATCCCAAGAGGTAGCCAACCTAAAATCAAGAGAAAATCGGGGGGAAATACGGAGTAGGCTAACTTTCGCTGTACAATCAAGAATGGTTGAAAAAAAATTATATTGTTAGGTCATGTGTCCCTTCGAAACCTGTTACGGTGGCGAGGGGCAACGGAGCAAAGATCAGCAACGTTCGCTTATATCCCGCCATAGATAAGTAGCTGCAATTACGCCGAGGCCATCATCGACACCAATTCCCAACACTGCTATTATTAGGAGTGGGCTATCTTTCGGTGTTTAAAAATATATAGCAAATCATTTAAAAAATATGGGTGGGCTATCTTTCGGGTTTGGAGGGGGGGGGGGGGGAGGGTGGAATTTCTCTAGAATTTAAGGTAGTGTTCAAATATACCGTCGATATGTGTTTGGAAAAATTTCCATTGAGAAGCAAGTGCCTTCCGTTCGGCCTCTTTAGAGCTGTGCGAGGAAACTGAGAAGTTAGCTCTGGTAAATTTGCTTCGGTATTATTTCAATGCATAGCGGAAAAAAACGAATGCGCGACTTGTAAATTCGAAACACAAATTTAATTATAAACAGTTCACGTTAAAAGTAAAATATTCCGTTATTATCTAAGATAATTGCCACAGTATCAATTCAATACATTAAATTTTTCTTAAAGACGGCTTACGTTTCAAAACAAGTTTGTATGGCGCTGCTTTTTGACAGGTAGTATACATCAGTACACTGGAACATCAACGATTTCTCGTTAAGAAAAATGGGCGCTAAGACAAAGCTTACTCTTTCACGATGCTTCGGCTTAAGCAACACCCTCACAAAAGCGTAGATCAGCTGAAAAACTGGAGGATTGTTTATGAAGTAGACGGCTTTGACCCGCAGTGGGTAGGAGTCCTGTAATTAAAAAAGCAAATATATCTTTACGCCTTCCTGAAAGTTCCGAGTAGGTTAAACAGTTATGCGTTTTCTTGTTTTTATGGTAATCAAGTCGCTTCCCTTTACATTCCGACTAAAAACTCAATCACATTTTTATTTTATTTTTCAGTATTATTTTCGAATATTTTTGATCTCAAATGAAGTGTGCTTATACGCTCGCGTTTGCGACATAAAATAAAACAGAAAAGCAATTTGTGGTCTTATGTAAATATATTTTTGAACCAGGAATCACTCTCTGTTCAATGAAGAAGGCGGTTACTATACTTTGTGTCACGATAACTCGGTGAACTGTGGAGGCCCCCATGACCCAATAAGGGCGTCGGAGCAAGCCACGTGACAGTACTCCATGGCCAAGGCTACGGACGCCTCTTCACCGCCACAGCAACAGCGCCGTCCGCGACAAAATGTAGTTCTAGGCTTCTTTTTCTTTTAATGACAATTGAACTGGCACGATCACATCTCTATCGACACCACAGGAAAGAAAGACAAAGACATGTTAGTTTTCAACGATAATCCATTCGGATCAAACGCACTCAGAAAACAACGTCGGTTTTGAACGATGTTCGAACGATGGCAGCCCAGGGGGGCTATGTTGCACGTTTTGGACTCCCATGAGACTAGGGAGAAGGAAGTGACGTCAACAACGCAGCAAATGCAGATTGGATGTTGATTTTGTTTTTTTCTGTCAACATCCAATCTGCGTTTGCTCTAGTCGTTGACGTCACTTCCTTCTGCCAAGTCTCCTGGGAGTCCAAAAAGCGCAACATAGCACCCCTGATAATCAACTGCTTCCGCTCAGAAGTTCGCCATGGCCTTAGCACCGGCCAAAGGTTCGTCAGAAAATTGAGCGTATGGTAGTACCATGAACTGATCCCGAAGACCTCGCTACTTTAGAGGACGGCAACATTGCGGCGTTGGACTTTCATCCATATTTTGTTGGCTTCGCAGCGGACGACTCTTTGCCAGCAGACGACAGCCAGTTCCTCCGGTCCTCGCATTGGGCGCAGTGACATACACGCTCCAATAGCTCAGTGACACGGGCCTCGCTCCGACGCTCTTATTGGGTCGCGGGGGCCGTAGCCTCCACAGTTTGCCAAGTTATCGTGAAACGGAGTATGACACAAGTATGTCGCCACACCACATCTTCTCGGCTGGCTATGGAAGAGCGAAGGGTAACTGGTATTGCCAGGTTGCGGAGTAAACAGAACTCTTTCACCTTCACTCGGAGACGGTCGCAAGATTAATTCCTGCCTCACGGCACGAGTATCGAACATACCTACAAGAGTGCTCTTCTGTACGCCTTGTTTCAGCGCTGATTCCGCGTTTTTCTGGTTCTTATTTTCAATATTGGAAGAAAAGTCGGTAGTTATGCGGGGGTTATGTGAAAGAAAACAGAAAATGGGCGTGGGATTCCCCAACCGCCAGAAAACAAGAGAGTTCCCGGAACTGTTGGAAAACGACAAGACTCTGAATAGGGAAGTACACGAGGGGAAGAATGTGCTTTCCAAAGTAAAAAGAAGCCTCACAGACAGTTATGTGAAAGCTGTGTTCCGGAATAACAAGAAAAATAATCTGTAGATAAAGTTATATTCCCGCAAAGCTTCGGCTTTCCTTATTCAAGGGCAGCGCCAAATCAGCGTGTGTCGTTGTTTTTTTAATTATTTTTATATCACCTGATTATGGGTTACTTTTCATGGCTTGTCATTTTAAAGGGTGTTCAATTTTATATTTAACAGATTTGAAAACAAATGAAGATGAGGGTTAAATCCAATTTGGGGGTTTTACGTGCCAAACCTACGACGGGCATCTGGCACGCCCCAGCGGAGGACTGAGGATTAATTTGGACCGCCTGGGGATCTTTTGACGTGCAACCGAAAGCTCGGTTCCACAGCGCCTCCTCCGCAATAAGCCTCCGCCATATTGCGGGCACCTCGGTCGGGATTCGAACCCACCACCTGGGGATCCGTAGGCCGGCGCTCTCGCCTCGGAGCCGCCGAGGCGGCTGAAGATGAGAGTCAGACGATTGTCGTCTTCAACACGTGCTTATCAGGCTCCGCGGACATTAGATGAGGGGATGATAGTCAGAATAAGTTCACTAATCAATAAAAACAGATTAATGAACTTCTTAGTGATGGATTTTAGGGATCATGTTGCAATTGCAGTATTTACGGCAAGGACGATTAGAGCACAAACCAATTAAAAGTATTAAAAAAATATTTACTTTTTTCACACATTACGTGACAAATTTTCCCGTTATTCAGCCCGTTTAAAAATTAGCGCGTAAGAAGCGCTCCGCAAACATTGCCCGCAATGACGCGTAGAAACGTGACGTAGTAGTTTCAGTAACATCACTTGTGCCATCTGTGTACCCACCAAAGACCAGACTTGGAAAGTCATCCGTTACAGGTAACGGATTACTTGTAATCCGCTACTTTTTCAAGGCGTATTTTAACTACCACGTTACTTTTTTTCGGAAGTAATTTGTAATGTAATTTCGTTACAAAATATTGGTGACAGATTATTTAATTGCTCGTTACTTTTTAAAAATATGAGCATACTACAGTAACAGGAGCAATAAAAGCAGATCATTTAGCGGCATAACGAGAGCAAGTTCGAGAAAATAAAAAAAAACATCAGGAAGGGGGAATTAGCCGAAAAGAACACGATTTGTTATATGACCGGTCACTAGAACCACTAGAAAACCGGCAACGCACGTGCAAGTAAACGAAAGACAAAGATCAAGTAAGACAACGCCGAATAGGCTCTCCGTCGCCTTCCATCCTGTTTTTCTTCTTCTCCCAGACAGGAGAAAGCTCTTCGTGTCTATTTGTTTTTTGTATTTTACACGTTTCACCCTTTCCGATTTCTTTGACGTCTCGCGCCACCTGCACAGACATCAAAAGCGGGTCCGTACCCCCTCGATTCGGAAATTCACAGCTCGCGTAACATGCGATGTAGCCTCGCGCGAGGGGGTCCAAATCTCTTTGTCTTTGATATGCGCTACTGTATTCTAGCATGCTCTTGAGGCATGGCTGAAAAGCGCCCGGCGCGAGGCTAAGAGCATCGTTTTCGAGGGTACGGCAGACATGGAAGTAATCCGTTGCAAGTGTAGCGGACAAGCAAACTGGGGTGGTAGAGAAAGAAGAAGCGACACGCGGGCAAGGCGGCTCGAGACAGAACACACCGACGGGACAGGTCTGCGATGTATAGACGCTTTCAGCGCGAGCCAAATTCAGCCGCCATAGCCGACCTTCTCTTGTCTTACCGAGATGTCGAGCGACTGAAGCGGGCGTTGACAAGTCTCCACAAGGGCCTATGCTGGGGAGAAGGACACGGTAGGATCTGAAATGGCAATTACCTGTCCTGCTGTGGTAATGATGAAGTGGATCGAACGGAATAAGAGGAAACAAAAACTGAAGGTCGGTTATGGCGGCGCCCATGCACAGCTGCCTGAAAGCGTCTATATTGGATGTAGATATTTCATATTGTAAATAGTCTCCGCTGTGGTTCTAACTCGGTCACACACAATACGAGTTCCCGGCAAAGGAAGTGCTAGCCAGGGGGAGAAAAAGAATTCATGAAAACGCGACAGCGCTGTGTTCCTAGCAACACTCCGAGTGCACCCTCCCGCGGCTCGGGAGAAGGGAGGTACAGAAGCCGTGCTTTGACACAAAGACGCGGTTCGGTGGTTTATTGTGCAGCGCCTGCGACTACTTCCGGACAACCCAACGAGCGGGTCCTGACCTTCGCTGCACGTTTCAAGAGCAGAACGAACGTATTCCAGCAACCGTTCGCCAAACCGGGAGAGCAAAGCACGTGTGCGTGTGTATGCAAGCGCGCGTGTGTAGGCCAGGTTTGGACGAGGGAGGAACGGACTTGAAGAAGCTTGGGGGTTCGGGCAAATGCGGTGACCGAACCGTGACAGCATCACATAGAAATGTCCCACTTTTTTTTCCTTGGAGAATGAAAAGCGATTGATGTAACGAGATAGGACCAAATGCGGCGGGCCGAACCGAAAAGGATGCTTTGAGAAAGGACCTTGTGAGAAGCTCGAAATCAGAACGGGCTCAAAAGATAACCAGCTGTCTGCGTTTTCTTTTTGTGTTTGATCGTTTATTGATGTTTCCGCCTAACCGCGCTCACCCCACAAACACACAAAGAACAGCGTGGGGCCTGGCCCCTGTTCACGCCTGAACGTTGTGAAAGCTCAGTATTGCAGTCCAACCAGCTGTGCGCTTTGTGCCAAGTGACTTCCCACAAGCGGGTTCGTGTAAACAGAAGATGCTTCGGCGATATGACACCGGCCGCTTATTGTAACAGAAAAATTGTCAGTTTAAACGGAGATCGGCCAAAAACCCTCGTCACTTTCAAAGGCAAACAATGAGCAGGCAGGGGAGACTTCCAAACCGCATTCTCAAAAAATAGAATGTTGAAGGAAGTTCCAGTTGGGGTCGGAGGTGGTTATCGTTAGCGGACTGTGCATGCGGGAAGTTAGACCGAAACTTTAGGGAAAGGAAAGCAGCAAATAAGCAGTGGCTGACATGGACACTCAAGTTGAGGCAGGAGCGGGCTGGCAAGGAACTTGCGTAATGGTTCTCACTTTTCTGTTCAGTCTTGCACGCCGTCAAGGATGTCCTTCTTATGTGCAAATAATAATAATAGTCGTGTTTATTATTTTCAATGTGTGAGAGACGTGGACGAGTGCTGATACTGATACTTCTTGATAATTTCTTCACGGCCTACTCAATTCCGCCATGGCTTTGAGCAAATATTTAAATTAGGTGAACAAGAAAAAAGAAGTCATTCGGTCGGATAGCAACATTCATCAAGCAGCAGTCTTCGAAACGGATCCGAAAGGAAATAAAATATTTTGATTTCACTACTAAACCTCCTAAAATAGCAAAAATAGCCCTTTAGCAACATGAAGCAGCCAGTGCGAGCTCGTGGAAGGAGAGTTTTTGCGGTCACCGATACTGAACTAGGATTATTTTGAGTGGTGTGGTGTGGCCTCCATCTGCATTAGAAAGTGTATTGCCCAAATGCACTCATTGCATGTTCATGTGATGCAACTCTGTCTCGGTCAATTATGCAGGACCCATTTATCTCAAACACCAGTTTAAGTCATTTATTATTTTATACGTTCGACCTCTTACTGTTATTAACCTTAACCTATGTGACAAATTCTACTGAGTGCATTTGATCCGGGTTTTATTATTGATGAGGCAATAAATCCCGCCCCGAAAACACGCAGTAAACATTGAATGTGTTTTGTGAGTTTCTTTGGAGTAACGCAAAGTGATCGAGTAAAGTAACGAAGTAAATAATCGATTACCTTTTACGGCAAGTAATTTTTAACGGTAATCCGTTACATTTAAAGTCAAGTAATTGTAATTGTAATTAATTTCTTTTGAGTAACCGGCACAAGTCTCGGGTACGAACAAACCTTTTTTTGGTTTACTTGTCTGGGAATGGTGGTCAAGTCCACTCCTCACTTTACAGTAGGGGGAGGAGGTTAGACCATCTAGGGAGTGCTGACACAGAGAAAGAGAAAACCCGTAAAAGTGGTGTTACCCTCTATTGTTTTGTGAGACCGATAGACACCGCTTCTCTCGCTCTCCATGCCCTCCCCTCCCGTGGCCTCCACGAATATTGCCAATATTCGTGCCCTATTGGTATGAAATTGAGTACCGATGAACGATTGATAACCCGTAACCGCCACTTTTTCTCTGACTGATCGAGTTTTTGGTCATGGAGTGTCCGTCGTCTCCATGACCATCTTTTAATGAGATGTTCAGAAATCAGGGCATTAAGAAGAACGGAAACCTAAAGTTTCAGTGCATATTTCTGCTTGCCAAAAAAAAAAAAAAAACACATATTGTAATCAGCAAGAACAAACTCTAATCTACGGAGACACATCAAAATAAGCGGGGACACCTGCATTCTGCATTGGCTATAGATTGTAACGTTAGAACGAAGTTTTTATATTCTGTGAATAACAGGTGAAACACCCGAGTCAAGAGGGAGCTTTGATAGATCGCTTGTTTCGCTCCGAATCCCGTAGCGGAGGCAGACGCTGTTACTGAGCATGAGCACCGCTAGCTTTGTCAGCACAATTCCAGGGATCATTTTCGGAGGCCTTAAGCTAACGGGATGGCGAGTGTGGTTGGAGCTTTCGATGCCTTGTCAGCTTACAGGTGAACGGAGTGCCTCTACACTTTTTCTCTTAAATACAATATTTTATTTTTACAAAGACTACTATAATACGGGCGTATGAGGAATAAATACTAGTGTTGGAGAACATTTTCGAAAATATCAAAATTGTTTTATAGTTTCCGAGATAAGTGTACGCAAAAAGTAACGTGAAAGTATTTTTAACGTAACGAGTAAAGTAATCCGTTACTTTTAAGCAAAAGTAATGTCTAACTGTAATCCATTATATTTGAGGCTCGGTAATTTGTAAATGTAATCTATTACATTTTTCAAGTAGCGAGCATAAGTCTGCCAAAGACAAGCTGCCGAGATAGTGACGATATGATTGAAACTTCTAAGTCAATCTTCTAAGCGTCGTTGTGAGCAGGGCGTGGGCGTGTAGTTAACTCTTTGCGCGCAATTTTTAAACCTGGTGAAAAACGTGAAGATGTATCAAATAATTTTTTTATAATAATTGTTTCCAAATTCTCCCACTTAACTGATATGGCAGCTTTTACCAATGGCCGTCAATACCGCAATTGCAACACGACCCCTAAATTAAATAATTAAAGAGCTGATTAACAAATGTCACTTAACCAACTACCGTGACGACTACCCGCTCATCTTATATCCTTCGAGCTTGATAAATACTGTTAAGACGTCACTCGTCAAAATCACAACACGATTTTTTTAAGGTGGATTCTCATGCACCCTGTATACCGAAAACATGGAACCATATCATTTTAAGGGTGAAGTTTCCAAATACACGTAAATGTCAAAGTTATACCTGCATTATCTTGACTGTCCTTCTGATTTCCGATGGCGTGAAGTAAAGAAAGTGAGAGATGTGAAGTCCATCCAGATCAACAACTCCTACGATGCCTGTGATTTGGTTCGTCGGATCCATAAGATTGCAATCTGTCCCAACAAGCACCAATCTGAAGAACTCGTTCAGTGAACAGACAGCCGGATTCCAGGCACCTAAAAAAGAAAGATTGCAGGAAGAATGGTACCGTAATTGGTTCATTTGATTTATTGACATTGCCAGCCCCTGAGGGTTATTAGAGGAGTCGAAATCACAGCGCAGTGAAGGTGGTTCTTGATGACGCAGCGCATTTCGTGAGGTTGCCACGGCACCCCATTTCAAAATTTGAGATATCCCTCGTCAATGTCCTCCGTGGCTGATAAAGAAGAAACGCCTATCCGGCGCCAACCACCGTCGTCTTTTTTCTTCAGATGGATCTCCTTCTAAAGTTTAGTGTCTTCCTAAAGTTCCCAAACCCGAGGGTCCATTGCGCCTGATTGTTTCATTCCATGTTACTACCATTTACAGCCTATCAAAATATTTAGAACTCATCACTCCCGTAAGCGAAACAAACAATTTGATAGTACGTAATTCTCAGGAGTTCGTGGGATACCTTTCAGGTCACCACCTTGACGAGGATGAAGTAATGCTTTTTTTCCCCCATGTGTCCTTGTTTAAAAATGATCCCAGCCCTCTAGTTGTAAGAGTAGCTCGAACGCGCTTAAGTAATGATGACAAGCTCCTCTCAAGCCCATCGTTAACACTCTAGGACATTGTCATGCTGTTACTGCTTTGCCTCAGCCAGCCTCATAGGTTTAGTTGACAAATCTATCACCAGCAGTGTTGCCGTTGGTGGCCATTTTGCGCCAAATTGGCTACTCTCAAGTCTGTCTGGCGGCAAAAAAAAAATTTAAGTTTGGCTCCCTGGCTTCCCTGGCTACATTTTTTAAAGTTAAATTCTGGCGCATTTGTAGCCAAATGAATATTTGTCTATACAAACAAGCAGAGAGATGACACATTACTTCTGTCGTTACGACAGGCTTTAAAAAATACTAAGAACCACCTGGCACTTTCCGATCATCACAATACTGAACGAGCGGCCAATCAGAAAACTCAGATGAACAAAATCCTTAGCTTCGTCGAAATCAGTCATTATTAGCCAACTAATCTTTTTGTGTTTACTACACAGGCAGAAATACGACAGATAATTTTGGGGCATTACTACGGTCTTTAATAAAAAGATAAGCGAAAAAGAACTTGGCACATTATGGTTATCACGATTCTGAATGAGAAGCACATCACGTGGCCACAAACGTAAGGTAAACGGAAATATCAGCTGATGCTTCTCTAAGATAAACAAAATCGCAGCCCAGGCTTCGTCCGTGATTCGGAGGCTCAATACCATCAATTCAGAAACCGTAGCCAAGAGCCCCGCAGACATGTTGAGACATCCAGCTCACTTTTCTGGATGTCTTTTTCACGAGGTCGAATCAGTAATCCGTTACCCGTAGTCTGTTTCAAGCACCTTGGAGCATACGACCTGCCTAAGCGTTTGACACGATGCTGCCGCTTACAAGAGCCCTTCTAGCGTACGCCGTTTTCCTTACCTCTCAAAGGGTGCTCTGAAGATCTTGTCACTTTTCACACAGAACGCGGATTCCGAGCGCGTGATCTATCAAATATCGTTAATAAAACCGAAACATAATGAAGCTCGACGTCCTTGAGGCAATTCTGAGACTGAAGTTCGGACTGAGGCTGCAGGAAAAAACATCCTGAACTTCTGACGTGCCCATCGAGCTTCTTCTGCAAATGAACCTCAATTGCACTAGATGTGGTAGCATTTATTCACGTTGATTGCGGTTGCACACAGCAATATTTTCCCTAATATTTTCATTTTTTGAAGAGTTTAATTTTGTACACTTTTTATGATGTATTTCTTTCTTAAAAATACGGGGACGACATATTCGGCGCGAAAATATATCAACTGCACACGTTTGGCTACATTTGGTTTGTGTTTTGGCTACTTCAATCGACCCCCCAACGTTAACACTGATTTTCACCAGATTAAAGGTTGTCCGATGGGTTGTTCAGTGTCAGTGACTGTGGCGACTCTTGTCATGGAGCAGGATGAGGAAACCGGTCTACAGCGGAATGTGCACCCAGTAAGGTTTTATAGGCGTTACGTGGACGACACTCACGTAATTTTAAGTAAAGACTTTGTTAATCACTTTCATTTGCCTTTGAAGAGCGTTTAACCGTCAGTCCAATATCACGTGAAAACGAACAAAACGGTACACTGTCTATCCTAGATGTTAATGCATGCCCAAACAGCACTGCACGCGTAGAAACAACTGTACACCGCCAAACATGCTGGACAAGTAACTTCTTAAACCTCAACTCACATCCCCCGGTTGAGCACAAAAGAGCAGTCGTAAAAAAATCGGGCAGAAGCAAATATGCTGCACACGATTATAATTGTTTCGGCGGCTGTAACGCTCAAGTCTTACCGCACACCTTACTCAGGTATAAAGAAAATGAATCTTCTGTATTGCACAAGTAGAGAACAAACTACTGTATTATATCCTAACTTCTAAATTAATCTATGTGTGATCATCTGAATGCTGTGCCTTTTTGTACGCACCAAACTTGTCTTTGTAATGTCGCCGGTGCGCAGAAAAAATGTTTCCTCCATTCATAATCAGGAATGCAAATGCGTTTTTTTTTTCCGTTTTTTTCTCTTTTTTTTTTTTGTGGGGGCGGGGGGTTGTACAAGGTAAGTGTAAATCAATTTGGTGCGCCCCTTGTAGGTCATCGGCGAACCATCCGGCGGTGATCAAAGTCGTACGACTCTAAGCCATTTTTGTAACCGCGATCCAACGTACAGCGCGTTTAGCCACAAACCAGAAGGCTGGCTATATTCAATTTAAGGTTAGGCTGCATGGCGGGGCAGTGGAAGCCTTGAGCTCGCCGGACCCCTGAGTCGACTATCTTTTATAATCTGTCCTGGCCCCCGTTCGTATGCATGCGTAGGTGGCTTGGTTTTATAAAATTTTGATCTCTCTATTCAGCACTAGTAAACAAAAGGTTCGAAAATTGCTTCGTGGAGAATCCGACTCACCCAGCTTGAAAATGACAATCAGCCTTCCCAAAGAATCACGCTGCTTGGGAACAGTCAATAGCTGGTTTTGGTGCAGTGTCGCATCGTACAAGATGCGTGACGGCAGCAGATTGTCGAAAAGGTCGGTGTATTCCTGGCGGACCCGGAAATACCTCCGAATTACATCCAGGGTTTCCCTCACGTGGAACTTCCGGCTACGCAGGAACTTCACCAGGAAATCTTCGTCCAAAGGGCAATGCAATACCGGATCCTCTGTCAAGGATGCATGGAGTGAGGTATGTGTCGGAAATGCCCAATCTATTAATTCGAGCATGGATCTCTGATCACTGGCGAGTAAAATCAGTTATGTACAGTGCTCGGTAAACTTATCTTGAACACGCCAACGGTGCCTATTCTCGTGAGAGCGGTTTCCTGACCTCAGTCTAAGAACTGCAGCTTCAACTAGCGCTGAATGAAACAGCCCTAGCAGGAAAGGCCGCACGCTGGACCGTGGACACTGCGACTATTTTGACGTTAAGCCAATCTACTCTTACAGCCACCTTTTCGCACGAAGGTGCCAAGGTGACTGTCGGAACAGTCAGTAATTGGATAATTCGATCAGAAAGCAATGGATCTTCCTACTGCATGAGCTGAAAAGCGTAGAACGCATTGCAGGAAAAACTGCTGCGTTGTCCCGTGCCCAGCAGCGATTTAGGTCTTGAGCGAGCAGCCTACCCTCCTATATTTCGTCTCAGCTTAACTCAAGACGCAGCCGACAATACGAGCATATGAGATGGGATGAATCAAGCAGCGTCAAGAGTGCAAGTAACTGGTCCTTTTACGTTTATGATTGGTTCAGCGACGATAGAATACGTACAGACACATGACAGACACCATGATGGTGCGGTTTCAACGCTGTCTAAATTGGTATTATCTGCTGGTAGCCTTGGCTTCGTCTATACTTGAGATGAAACGGCGTATGGAACTGTTCTATTGAGCACTGAGTCCTGAATCAGTTTTTCCGTTGTCGCCAGGATAGCACGTCCATGATATCAGATGTCATTGACGTGTTCCGGACAAGTTTGCCGAGCACTGAACACACGTTTGCGTATGCGGCCTCTGAGCACCGCCACTTTGGTGCTGGTGTGTGGACATCACGCGATCCCCAAGTTTAAATAACAAATAATTAGCTATAACCTTTTGAACGGACATTAGGTTGTTGCGTCAAGGGTTTGCCAGTTTTCAGTTAGATATATAGTCTATTAAATTTGTATATTAATTTATACTCCACAAATCCTTTTAGAGGACGGGGGGAGTGGGGGTTTCAAGTTGCCTAGTTGGCGGAGGAGGGAAAGGAGTGGAAAGGGTCGAGGCTCGGCTGACTAAGGTGATTCGCGCGCTAGCCTTTAGGCGGATTTCAGATTTTCTTGCCCGGCAAGCGTATGCAAATCTGGGCGCCGGCTAAAAGCTACTCGCTGAATCAGTAAGGTGTATTTATCCGAGCCTCGGACCTGTTCTCCTTTCTCTCTCCCCATAAACCAGGCGATGTGGCAAACATGCGGAGGCGCCAATCACTGCGCCCAAATTGACTCGTTGTCTTACTTCACGGGCTTTACCGAATGCGCCGTCCCTTCACCATAACTTCTTTATAAATAACCAAGTTCGTAGTCCCATAGTGCCTTATGCATCAATATAGGTTCATTTGAATTTTACTTTCACCAATATTATCATTTGATACACTTAAATTTTTATACCAGGCCTTCGCGGTCTCAAGTTGGTCCTCAATCATACAGCCCCTTTTATTGTCCTTCTTCATACTTGCGCGTTAATTACTGCTTATTCTCGAAGCGTTTTATTTCCAAAACTTCGGGAAAAATATAAATTCAAGCTTTCCGATGACCGGACCTTATTATCTTTATGCGTACGTTTAACGGAAGCCTACCACGTCATTCCGTTTCCACTTACCGGAAAGAAGCGCCCGCAGTTGAGCCACGGCGTCCTCTTTCACTTGCGGTGTTTCACCGAGCTCTCGCTTGGCAATCGTCTCCAAGTCGAGGGAAATTCTTTCCATGGTCAAGCTGGGCGGGCTGCCTGCTCGGCTCTGAAATCATCATTCAAACCCATAATTGTGTAAGCGTCAGCTAGATTTCGCCAGAAACTACACCATACGATATTTTGAAACGTCTCGTACTTGGTGCGCAACACCATCGAAGCCGCTGGCACGCCAGTTGATTTGATATTGTAGTGCGCCCAAACCACAGTTACGCTTCTAATACATCGTGCAAAAGACAGTCCGCAAACGCCTTCTGATGCATGTTTCAATGCGAAAGCATTAACTGTCCCACGGAGCGATCCGACGTCATCAGCTTTGAAACCACGCCAAACGTTTGCCAAACGGCACCTAAAATCCCCCTTTCCAAGTGAAGCCGATTTTTGATGGATTATGCTCCCATTGGCTGGCGCGCGTCTTCAAGGAACCAGGCTCCCAGAGCCCGTCCGGGCAAACTCCGGGCAGGGTACACGGCTGAGCTCAGCGCGGCGCAGTCACTTCACGACCCAAGCAGCACAGAGTTGGCCAGTCATCGGCCGATGGCTGGCAATGGTCCTTGGCCAAGTGGCCAGACAGTGGCCAGAGACTAGCCGGTGACTGGCCTTTATCTGGCCATTGGCCAGTGGCCACTGGCCATCAGCCATCGGCCAAGCATCGGCCAATCGATGGGCACTCTCTGGCCACTGGCCAAAAGACCATCGCCAGACATTGGCCATTGCTTGGCCAAAATCCGTGCTGCTTGGGGAGCGCGCGCTCGGCCGTCCACCGGCGGAACGTACGTTTCGTACGTTTCGCCGGTGGACAGCCACGTGGCGTGGATAGCCACGTGGCTGTCTAGGCCACAACGCCGCAGACTAATGAAGAGAGCGGAAGAACGACATTCATGCTTTCGCATTCACAACTCATAAGAAGTACTTAGCTGTCCTCGGACTTTGTGTTTCTTCTTTTATTAGGTGCACGCACATTGATGATACAAAATCTCTCTGCAGACATCTTCGAGCCGTACACATGTAAACATGCTTCGACAATTTTTGAGGCGCCTCCGCGGGTAATTCTCCCGTTATGTCTCTTGCGAACGCAGTGTGACTGCGACCTAAAGGCTGGTTAAGTCTTAGTTCAGATATGTGGCACGTTTGGGTCTGTGACCGATTGCGTTAACACCGCTTGTGACTGCTTACGGCGACATGGTTGCTATCGCAGCCGCGGTGCGCTCAACGCGTCATAGTGGAGTGAAAGGAGTCATAATGCATTCGCTCACCCTGAATGACAGATATATAAACATCTCTTGAAGGAGCTGTGCAACGTTTTTAACGTCGAAAGGATTTGAATCTTCTACTTTTTGTATTGTTTATATTCTCCAAAAGAAAAGAAAACACATCTTCCTTCGAAATGTTGCTCCGCCGCGTAATCGGGAGGCAAAAATTAGAATATTTCACGACATGCAGCCTCGAGCGGCGGCCAGGAGAACCACGCGGCGTGACGTCAAAGGGGGACTTGTAAAAAGATAGCAAGTTGTGCAAATACCTGCCCGAATAAAAGTAAAATTTTATATAAATCTTATCGTTCCAGCATAAATAAAAATGCGCCACAAACTTGGTAACATCGACAAAAATTTTATTACACGGATTTTAGTGGCGCCATCTATCCGAGGTCAACAAAACCGTCAGCTCTATCTGCTACCGCGAACATCGAGCACCTCCGACAGAGCTTTCAAGCCTGCACGTTACGTAACATGACGTCACGTCCGGGATTCCGTCACAGGCACTGATTGGATGCGGGTGCCGCGTCAGCGTTCGTGTGGGACTATGAGAGGAAACGAGCCACACGCGAACGCTGACGCGGCATTCGCATCCAATCAGCGCCCGTGCAGGCCTCCCGGACGTGATGTCATGTCACGTGACGCACAGGTTTGAAAGCTGTCTAGGAGGTGCTGGAACAACCGCCAGAAGCCGGAGGAAGACGGAGGCACAGCCGAGCGGGGATGGCCGGACCCGGACGATCACGTTGCCGCATTCATCCTTTCGCCATGTTGATCTAGCTGCGCAAGCATGTGGTCACGAGGTCGCGAGCGGATGAGTCCTCGCCGCTCACTGATGGCTCTAGAGAGAGCTTCACCGGAACCCCGCACGTCCTCCTTTCACGTCACAGCGCACGTGACTCGGAGGACGGTGAAGGAGTTGAGAGGTGCCGAAAACCTCAATCTTTGTCAGTTGCATACGTCGAGGGAAGAATGGAGTTTCGTGGAGAGTGGTAGATGAAGGTCTGTGCTTAGTAGCGGTAAGGGATTATTTCGCCCTTCTCCGTGGATTCCGAATTTAATCAGAAATTAGCTGATTTGAGCGAGAAGCTTTAGCTATGGTGGCGCAAGCCGCCGCCCGATTCAAATGGTCTAGCTGTATCCATCCATCCATCCATTCCAGAGAGCCTGCATTACAGAGAGTTTCCAATTGCTCGAACGGTGTCACGGGGTTTAGGGGCTGCATTTGTAATAGCAGCTACGGGTAGGTGACCACAAAGTTAATCGTTTGCAAACATCTTCGCCTTTCCTTCTGCTTTACTCCTTGCACGCAAAAACGCAGCGCATGCGCACTTACGTCCTATCGCCGCAGGAGGTGTCCGTCATTAAATTGGAAACGCTTCCCGAGGTTTCAGATGCACCCTCTCTTCAATCTAGGCTGTCCAACGACGGTGGCACCCTGAAACAACGGCGGCGGCGCGCAACTTCTTAGAGAGCGGCCCCCGTTGTATTTTCCTCCGTCCGACAGGCATGCGGAGTATGCAGGAGGCTATGACCATACTTGAGTCATGTCTTCGCTAAGTAAAGCTTATGGTGTCTGCGTTAAGCCTGTCACGGTGTTCTCTCTCACTAGGTACGCAACCGCGATACGCAACCAATATTGTTCTTCGCAGGGCGATAGCGCCGCTCGCTACGCGATTGGCAACAATAGGTGTCGACAAAAAACGTCTGTACACAAAGTTGAGTTTGAATGCGTTTGAATGGGTTGCGTTGAGAAACGGCTATGAGTCACCGGGTCATCTGCGTTTCGTGTGTAGCGCGGCAACCAATTCAACGAGTATAGCTTGGCAAGCGGCATACGAATCACAAGTCCCAGTCGCAACGCGGTTCAACGCTCTCTAACCAGAAAGCGCCGCTACAGCTCACCGCGCCGACTACGCCCATGACCACTAAGGTCTACCGAATCCGACGGTTCACTCTTAACGTCACCTACGTTTTAAGAGATGTTGTAAGGCGAAAAGGCCGAACGTTATATTTTTTTTGTTTTTTTTATTTCTTTGATTTATTTTATACGAAATAGTAAGCTTGGTAGGAATGTGTAACAATATTGAGAATTTTGCCAAATCACCCAGGCCGTCGGAAAACATCTCTGTATAAAAAAGTTAAAAATCGTCAATATGGTCCCTTCTAGTATTAAACAAAGTATAAATATATACCGACGCTTGTTTATATCCAAAGGCTGGTGTATACCCAAAAGTTGGAGGTTGTAGAGCATGGCGGCATGAGTAACGTCATCGAAGGCCTTCGTAAGGTCGACTCCGACGATAGGGCGGAGTTGAGTGGTGTTCGGGTGTGCAAGACACCTGATGCGGAGGGCTACGTCTTGCTTGCAGACGTGCCTCCTAGACCCGACGAGGGAGTGCGGAAGATGGTTCCCCGTTTCGAGGTGCCAATCAAGGCGGTTGAGTATCAGTTTTTCTATTAATTTTCCAATGTATGAGGTCTTTGAAATGGGGCGGAGGTGTGTTGGAGGGGTCGTGGACTTTCCGGGTCTAGGAAGCATGAGGACATGAGCCGTTTTCCATTCATGTGGGAGGCGTCCGGTTACCCATACACGGTTGATGTGTGTCAGCAATTCGTCGGTTTTAGCTTCGGGAAGGTTACGGAGCATGGTGTATGTGACACAACCGGTCCAGGGGCGGTGCGACGTTTGAGTTGAAACATGGCAAGCCAGAGTTCGCCGATAAAAAACTCTGAGTTAATTCCAGTGTCTAAGTCTTCAAGTAGGGCGGAAATGTATTGAACGCTGGGTTTGGGGTGTGAGGAAGGGGAGGTAGAACGTATTGCGATTATCCTCAATGAGGGTGGAAGGTTCCATCTGTTGGGCCAGGAGCAGTTTTTGGAGGGTGTGCCGAGGTATGGCCTGCCCAAGGAGGGAGCGAAAAAGGTTCCACGCACTGGGGCTGTGAAGTTGGCCGTTCAAATTGTTACAAAGGTCATGCCAATGTTGAATGGCAAGGTGGTCAGTATATTCTTCGCATTCGTAGTTGAGAGCTTGCATTCGGGCTTGGAGGGTGCTGTTGAGCCTCAGAGATGGCGCTCCGGGGGGCTGCACTTTTGCCTCTACCGGACTCCAAGCCACGATCATTCACTTCTTGCGCACCCGCATCGTCATGCGGCAAAAGCCCGTGGACGTTCCTTTAGCTGCAGCCGTATTCACACGGAAGTTTATGCAGCATAGTAAACCAATGCACCGACCATTCTTCTTTTCTTTGCTTTAGATACTTTTAAAAATTTTATAAACGAACATTTTTTTTCTACATTGTACACACATTTGATTACGCAAATATCGCATAACCTTCGCTCAAGTGAAATGCTGTTTCAGGGTCACGTCATAAATAACGCTATCGGCTTCCCCCTCCCCCCTTTTTTTTTTTTTAACTGTCAGCGAGGCATTTGTTTTCTTCCCGATAAACACCTTCATTCCCCTGTTTCGCTTGCTTATCGAGACAGGAACGTTTTCTATAGACGCTTTGCAGCAGCTGTGCATGGACGCCGCCATAACTGACCTTCAGTTTTTGTTTCCTTTTATTTCGTTTATTTCACTTCATCATTACCATAGCAGGTCAGGTTATTTTCATATTAGATTCAACTGTGTCCTTTTCTAAAGCATCGGCCTTTGTAGAGGATCGTCAACTACCGTTTCAGTTGCTCGGCATCTCCGTAAGACAAGAGAAGGTCAGCAATGGCGGCTGTAATTTGGCGCGTGTGTAAAGCGTCCATATAGATGCTCGGGTGGTGATGGGCATGTTCCTTCTAGTTTAGAAAGTCTCATGACTGTGTGTCTTGTTACCCTACATCATTAACCCCGATAATCATGTACTTTTGTCCCACGCAGGAGATCAATGTTGAAAAAAAATTAACCGGTGGGAAAAAAAATGACATCAGAAAAACACCCTCCAATTCGAAAAAACAAAATAATAAACCCGAAAACAGAAAACCCTCATTCATTAGATATGAACACGTTACTGAAATAAAGATACTAAATAACGTTGCTCGTCCACCGCTCGACAAGTTTCTAACTACGTTAACTGTTGCAGCTCGTTACTGCGATTTAAAAGGAACACTCTACTTCCGCTCGAAAGTAACGGGTCATTTTCTCGCTGTCGTTTTTAATGAAGGAGTACCCGCTTCCAATGCATGACGTCGTTAATATTTTTAACGTGTTCATTCATGGATAACTGTGGGTACTGACATACCTTGTGCACGGGTTTTTGGTTGTCTATCAAGCGTTTCTCGTTTCGTGCAAAATTACAGACGCGAGCTGGGCTGAGAACCAGGTTTGGTACCCGTCTTGCAAACGTTCCCTTCCAGACGTAACTACATACCGTTTACTCGTTAGTTAATCAAGAACTAAACAAAATACGTTACTCGTTCCTTCTCTTAAATGGTTACTAGATCGTTACTTTGTTACAAAAAAAATATAAGTAACTTGTTACTAGGAACGCGTTACTTACAAGTCTGGTTATAATTAGGGTTCCCTGTTTTCCGCCATAACTTTAGTTCACATAAGGCAGAAGGCAGTGCACGAGAGGGCTCGTGCTGTCTCGTGCTCTTCACGCGAAGAGCTCCAACGAGGTTGTCGCACATGCCCAAAAACTAAAGTTCCCTCGATGCATTGCGGCAGCGGTGGCGTAGTCGAAATGGCTGGTGAGATCGGTGTGTTAGGTTTGATCAGCGCACAGAGTCAATGGCCCTGGAAAAATGCCATCCCAGCTATCTTTCCATTCTGGGACCATTCAATAGGGGTCTTACCGCTTATCTCGTCAAGGTTCATTCAGCTCAAGAGGTCATCGTACTTTGGAGACACTACAAAAACCACTGTTTTGGTTTCCAGTTTGGACCATATTATTTGGGCTTAAGAACATGGGTCTACAAATCCCGGCCCGCGGGCCGTTTCCGGCCCGGTGAAGTCTTCCAACCTCCGGCGGCTGGCCGCAGTCTTCATCACCAGTGTCACCATTCCTAGTCCCCTGCTTCATAGCTCTGCAACTATGTTAAAATTTATTTTCATACTCATGTATATTCTGCTTAGTGACCTTTGTCACAACTATTGCATACTATCAGCATTAGTGTTATCATTCTCATTGGTGTTTGCACCGGGCAAATGGGCCGAGTTTTCCATGCGTTTTGATTTATGCCTGGTGAATATTCTTGGTCACAATTCTTGTGTAAGATCATACCTAGCTAAATAAGAAATTTCAAATTGAAGTATTGAAATATACGTATTCGTCCACCTCAGGGTAATGTCTTTAATAAGTTACTCTAACAATACTTTTTTTTTTTGTGTGTGTTGAAACGTTTATCTAGGATTGTTTATTGAGGTTTCCTATTTGATAATTTCTCTTTTTTTCCGGTCCCCCCGGACTGCGACAGATCCCCAACCCGGCCCCCTTCTTTAAGAAGTTTGGAGACCCCTGCTCTAAAGGAAATAGAGGTTGTGTTTTCTGTAGCGGTAAAAGCTATGAACCATAAATATAGACGCTTTACACACGCGCCAAATTACAGCCGCCATTGCTGACCTTCTCTTGTTTTACCGAGATGCCGAGCAACTAAAACGGTAGTGGACGATCCTCTATAAAGGCCGATGCTTTAGAAAAGGACACAATTGAATCTAATGTGGCAATAACCTGGCCTGCTATGGTAAAGATGAAGTGAAATAAACAAAATAAGAGGAAACAAAAACTGAAGGTCAGTTATGGCGGCGTCCGTGCATAGCTGCTGCAAAGCGTCTATTACAGCGAAGCTGTATACCTCTACCAGTCAAGGAAATTTTTTGTGTCGTTGGCGTTGTAAGCAAAAAACTCCCGGCAAACAATTGAAGGCAAAACAGCATATCACCTTTGAAATCAGGCATACAGTATACAGTTCAGGATCCGTTTCAATAAAGAAAACCACAAAACAAGCATCAAAACCACGTGATGGGTGATAAGGCGCACGTGAACAATAGGAACACCCTCCCACGCGTTCTGGTGAAGATTAGGTTTGCAGCTGCTTTGAAAGGTGTTGACGTCATTCGAGGCTCCCGTGTGAACTGCAAACCGTATAATGTATTATAATGGCGCCTGCGAACAATGCGAAGCAAGTTCCTTCTCCCCACGTGTGTTTCACGGTAAAGATTAAGGCCCGTTCATACTATAGGAGGTATTCACTGGACGCCATATTTGAGGGCGATGTTTAGAGCGCATGCTCAGAACGAGCTCACATTAATAGCCTGCTAAGACCGGCAACCTTGATGGTGCTAAATGCACGCTCTAAAAGGACTGCGGAAGCTCGCCGTTAGCACGCGCTCAGCAGCAGCGCACACGGATATGGCCGCCAGTGAATACTCCCTATTGTAAGCGAGTATCAGCGAGGGAGACGAGACCTGTTGAAACATATTAAAATTTCTTAGGACGA